GCCTGTCCCCAAGCAGCGCCCCAGCCCACCCCTCCCCGCGGGCCCGGTGCTGACCTGCCTCCTCTCCCCTCCGCAGATGCCGAGTATGCCGAGGGGGCCTCCCTGCCGGACCTGGACCTGCTGCATGACCCCGAGGATGAGCTGCTGTGCGCCAACCTGATGGACCTGGTCCAGGCCACGCTGGGCAGAGCCCCGCTGGGCGCCAAGCGCTGCTCCCGGCTCCTCATGCCGGCCCAGCTCCTGGCGCAGGTGAGGACGGAGCTGCTGCGCCTGGCCTGCAGCGAGCCCTGCGGGCTGCGCGGGGCCCTCCTCGACCTCTGCGTGGAGCACGGCAAGGCCTGCCATGATGTGGGGCACATCGCCGTGGACCCCGCCGTGGTGCCCACCTTCCAGCTCACCCTGGTGCTCCGGCTGGACTCCAGTCTCTGGCCCAAGATCCAGGGACTCTTCACCTCGGGGCCAGCTTTCACGCCGCTGAAGCTGAGCACGGGCTTCAGGGTCATCAAGAAGAAGCTGTACAGCTCCGAGCAGCTGCTCATAGAGGAGTGCTGACGGGCTGTGCTGGAGAAGTGACTTACCCAAGTGCTTTGGAAGAGCTGGTTAGAGCGTGGCGGCTCCTGGAGGCCGCTGTAGTTTAGGTTAGGCTGGAGTAGGGCTGTAGGTGGAAGTAGTTTGGGCAGGCGGAGGTCCCCGCGGGGTGCCCACCTGTGCTGTGGCATCCCTGATGTGGAGTGGACCGGGACCCAGGCAGAGGTCGCTTCACACTGTTGATGATTGTGGGATCATTGTGGTGACGCAGCAGCGGGGCTGCTGGGGGGCAGGTGGTCTCTTCCTGTTGGCTGATTAATCATGGTTTTTTTGTAACAAGGATTGTAATCAATGGGGTTTCTGGGGGAGGGTGTGTGTGGGAGTGAGTGACAGCTGGGCTGTGGGTCTGGATGGAAGACATAACCCCACTGCTGGCACCTGGGTGGCTCTGTGTGGGCTCCCAGTAAGGCAGGAGGGGGGGCTCGAAATCACATTGTGTCTTTGATCATGAGAGAGTGGTGGGAGAGGGGCGTGCAAGGTGATGTGGGGATGGAGGGCAGGACCCCTTGCTGTGACATGCTGTGGGCGCTTCATTGGTTACAGTTTACACTCATACACTTGATGTTCAAGTGCAGGACTTCCTATGCAATTGTGTCGGGGTGGGTTTTTTTACTTTTCTAATAAAAGCTGTCTTAATTGATAACCTGCTGTCTCCCTGTTGTCACTTGGGGCCAGAGAGGGGTGATGCAACTGCTCCCAGCTGGTCTGAAATCCCTGCTGGCATCTTCAGGAAGCCTTTCCCTGGCAGGGTGGCCCTTGTGGTGGGAGCTGAATGTTTTGGGAATGGGGGGGAATCCTGCTATGCCCACTCCTAATTGCAGGTCATGGGGCTGTGACTCAGGGGCAGCTGAGTCAGGCCCCTGAGGTGGCCAGGTGCCTGCCTGGGGAGGGGGGCCCTGGCAGCCCAGCAAGGGGCTGCTGCTCCTCCCCTGGGAGCTACAGGGGGTGGGGGTTTGGGCAGAGAATCAGGAGAATTGGCTAAAATTGCAAGGGAGGGAGATGGGGAGGGTCACACCTGCCAGGGGGAATGCTCCCCAACTCCAAACACACTCTGCAAAAATGAGACCAATTACCCAAGCCTGCAATTAGAGAAAAGGCTTTCACTAACATGTAATTAAGCTGCTTGGCAAATGAAGAACCTGGTGGAAGGTGTGGGGGATAAAACCAGCCTGAAAAAAAAATATTTCCATTCAAATGCAAGTTTGTTCTGGCTTGAGCTTTTGTTGTTGGGTGGTGGTTGTTTTTTTTGTTTGTTTTCCTGTGGACAGACACTGACTTTTGATGAAAATTTTCACTAAAAAAGTTGTTTCTGAAAAGGACAATGCACAACTGGAGTGTTTGGAGCTGAGGTTGCTCACTCATGTGAATACCACCTAGGAGCAATCAGAGCAACAAGTGGTGCTGGGCGGGTACAGCTGGAAACATACCTTTACAAAGCCACATTGTGCAAGGGGGGGGGTGTCCTTTAAAATTTTGGGGATCAGTGTGTTTCTCAGAGGGTCATGTGCTGGAGCATCCCCCCCACATGAGGGGCATCCCTGTACCAGGGTCAGGCAATGCAGTGCCCTGTGGGGTTGTCCAGTGGCAAAACCACTGTCAAACCAGCCCAGGAGCCACTGCGGGGGCTGGAAAGGAAACTCCAAACCCAAAGTTTTTTGGTAAAATTACAAGAAGAGCAGGTTTTGGGAAGGAAATGGCATATTGCTCCCCAGCTGCAGCAAGAGATTTACAGCACAGTGACGGCAGCAACACTGGCAGCTTGGCTCAGGCCATGCCATCATCCCCTGCTGAGACATACTGTGTCTTGAAGCTATATATATAGCTCCATAAATACATGTATTTTTATATATTGAGCTCCTGAGTATGTGGAGGGGATCACCCCGTGCCCTGCCGTGCTGCCAGCAGCAGTGTGGCCCCGGCTCGTCCCCGCCAGCCTTTCCGAGGGTGGGCGAGGGACTCTGCATCACATTTTTTAAAAATTCTTATTACAAGGAATAGCCAGGGCTTTGCAGAAAACGCCAAGAAAACAAAACAAACCCACCAAAACTCACAAAAGCAAACACAGAGAGACAGGACAGCCTC